ATATATTAAAAGTATGGTTGTTCTTGTTTCTTATAATGAATTGCCTAAATTGATAAGACTCTAAAGAAAGGGGGAAGAAAAAACAATATGTTGCATCTCAAAGGAGTAGTTGTGTCATGTAATAAAAGATGAGGGGTCTTTTTGGAGTCTTAAGAAAGAGTAGGGACTTTAAAGTAATTAATTTAATACGCTAATAACCTAGTGGATTCCATCACTAACTGATTCGTCTATCGGAGATACTTCTACTCGCCAAAAGATCATTTGTAAATCACGAACCAATGAAATAAAAGTCAAACGCGAGTATTGTTCACGCTCCTGGATGATGTTGCTATTTGTAAAGCATCTATTCACCTTTTTACTATTTTATCCTTCTCAAACTTAAATTATTTTTTAATTTTTATTTGGTAAATAGTTTATACTTTCTAATAAAATAATGATATAAAATATTATGTTTGATTTAATTACATAATTTAATAAAAGTATTTTATTAATAATTAAATAGAAAAAAAGATTTAATAAAATAAATTTGCACCAATGTAATATAAGTGTTGTCGATTAATAATATGAGTTGGGTTCACGTGAGACCAAAAGTTTTTCGTGAGAGTTGTAAGACCAATTTATATTCATTGATCAACTTTATAAGCTAATGATCTAATGGTTTAAAGTTGTACATTGACAATTTTGTGATTACTGAGAAGTCTTGTGGCAATTTTGTGATTATGAATGTTCAAATTGTAGATTTAATCCAAGGGTTGAGAATTGGTCTTACGAGTTTCACGAAAAACCCTTGGTCTCACATGATCTCAGGTCTTAATAATATCCGATTTAATTTATAATATGATAAAAATTTCAAATATTTATTAAACAAAGAACAATAAAAAGTAATTTTGGATTAAAATCGTACTAAAAAATATATTTATAATAAAAAATAATTATTATGTTATATGAGAAATCTTTTTGAATTCCTGATATAAAGTGATTTTCTTAATGACAAGAGTTCATCAGTATATTTTAGATTTTGAGTATGTCGGTTGTCGTTGTTTCTTTAATCGTGGGTTTGTTTTTAAGTCGGTTGGGATGTTCATAAAATCTCAAATACCGTAAGTCGATTATGTCGGTTCTAGCTTTTAATTCAATAAAATCTCGAATGATCTAACTCAATAATTGACGGATGACGATCACCTGTAACGGTATTCTTATAAATATTGCCAAAACCACGTGAATAAATGAAGTTTTTCCGTTAGTACTTTGCATTATTAACCGAACATATGTAATAATTTGTTTTCAATCTGACAAAATAACTTTATATGTAATAATTATTTTTAATAACAAGACTATTAATTATGTCTTACAGGGTTTTATTAAGAACCGTTTGTATTATAATAACAGAGTCATAAATATTTAAATAAATGGTAAATTGCATGAAAAAGTAACGTACTTTAACTTGATTCATATTTTGGATAACGTACTTTCAAAACTTCCATTTTGATACCTAAGATGTAACGTTTTAAACATTTAAGTATCTGGGTAACCGTTTGAGGCATTAACCGGTTATCATGCTGATGTGGTATCCAACTCAGTATTATTTGTTATTCAACCCAATTTTATCCCATCACTTGTCACATCAACATGGTAACTGGTTACCGAGGTACTTAAATGTTTAAAGCTTTACATCTTAGGTACCAAAATGGAAGTTTTGAAAATACGTTATTCAAAATATGAATCAAGTTAAAGGACGTTACTTTTTCATGCAATTTGCCCTAAAATAAATATCAGAATAATTAAAAAACTACTGTTCACTAAATGAATTCAGTAATAAAATACATCACCAGCATTATTATCGAATAACATCTGAGCATGTGTAGATGATAAAAATGGATCATTAGCGTAACGAGTTAAAACATGTTCATATCAAAACAGTCAAATTTAAAATAATTTAGATCATGTCTGACCATCGATATTGTTTTTGGATTTTATAAATAATTAATATATATATATATATCAAATATTATTGTAAAATTTATTATTAAAATAATTATTAATTTGACAAAATCAATTTATTTACACACACATCATTAAAAGGGTGTTTGAGATTGTTTATAAAAACAACTTATTGACTTATTCCGGTATGACATCGGTAATAAGCACTTTTGTGTGTTTGGATAAACAACTTATATCGGTGTCAATCCGGTAATAAGAAGTTTTTGAAAAAGTTAAATTCTTCTGACTTATAATAAGTTGATAAATGTTTTTGCAAAAAAACACAAGTTGTTTTAAATAAGCAATCCCAAACACCCTCTAAAAATTACCCTCTCCAATCTATCCAAGAAAAATTGGAGGATATTTTTTGTATTAAAATCAATTTCATCATTATTATTTAATTAATTATTATAAAAAAATAATTTTAATTACAATAATACCCAAAAGAATTTGTCAAATTCTAAAAAATAATCCATAAAATAATTATATATGTATTAAAGCATCTTTAAAAATAATTAAAAATAGTGGAGGGTACCTAAAAGAATCTTTGGAAAAAAACGTAGCCGATTGTGACCATCAATTAAATATGACCACTAAACTTAGTGGTTTTGCAATTTCTGAATACTAGTTTTGTTTTTCACTATTTGACCACAATAAGTTTCAACTGCTTCAAATACAGTATCGGGAAGTACCGTTTGCGGRACCTCAATATCCACTGGTTTATTAGCTAAATGGCAATTGACGCATACAATATGTCCAGTCGCTTCTCGTGGATTTTCATAACCCTGTTGTGCAAAAATGGGATATGCATTTGAAATGGATGTACGATGGGTGTTTGGTTCAGTCAGAGAAATGAAAATGAGAATGATTTGCATTCCCTCCAGTTTAATCTGGAATCAAAATTTGGGCTTTTCTGAGAAAATGGGTTCATTATATTATATAAAATCAAACAGTTTTTTTTTATTTTCATTCTCATTGATTATTGCATAATACCTCTAATTAGGGGTGACAATTTTGTATCAAACCAAATGACATTTGTACCAACCGTACCAATTGTATTTGGCTGGTTGTATCGTACCAGAACTTGGTTGATTTACAATATCGAATGTTGTGCACCATGGTAGTATCGTGGTACCGACTTATTTAATAATTTAATTAAACGTTGCTACATTTAACTTTTGTGTCTGATCATGTAACTTGAAACTGGTACAAGCCGGTACCAACATGTACCAATTGAAAAAAGTCGGTACCAAGGACAATTGGTTGGTACATGATATAAGATTTTATATACCAATTATAATTGGTTAGTACACGGTATTGACAAAAAAAAAGCCGGTATCATACCAATTCTACCCCTAATATTTACAATCAAGTCAATATTGTTAGGGTTTGTCAAATATTTAACGAAAAAGTTAGACATAACAGGAATTTATGATTCCAAAAGTTTTTTGTCGAAAGTATTTGCGAATTTCAAATCCCATTTAATTTTTATATAAAATTAAAAATTATCTTTAAAATTGAAAAATAGGATGTGAAAGACCGAGACGATGCTAAACCTAAAAACCAAGCGGATTTCATTCAATCAAAAATCATAAATGTTGGGAAAGAGAAGCAGGGGGCCTCTGAAAAAACATTAAAAAACGAAAAAAAACGTACACACCACGGACCAACATCAAAAGGGGTGGGGGCAAAAATGATTGCAAACTCAACAACAATATAAGAATAGCCCCCATACTAAAAATCATAAATGTTTAAGCGTATTTGGTTTTCAAACTTTTGAAGCCATACTTTAATTACAGTTGTTTAAATTTGATGCATAATCTTTTAGGAAACATATAGATATATTGATAACGGATGACAATTATTTCAACTGAGGACAACGTTGCGAGGATGTGAGATGTCGTCTCATAGACTGCTATTAAGATGCTATCCGATTGAAAACACGACTCTAATTATTAAATGAGCATCAAGATTATTTTGAAGACGTTATTAGCTCAAACGTGATATTATTTTCTCGAGATGAATCACAACAACTTGCTACTTGACTCGTTAACACCCACAGCAGGTACATAGATCCAATTGTGGAACATGGTACACGACCCCCTCCCAACTGCAAACCCACTACAAGAGGCACGAAATCTGCCCATAAAACCTACCAAATACTTAACCTACAAAATAAAGAGAAAACATTGAAAACGACGATTAAAGACAAAATCCCAAAAAACATTAATAGCCGAAACGCGATGAGACACTGTCTTATTATAAACCAAACCAAATCCGACCAAACCAACTTAGTATATCGCATCAGAAGGTGGGGTTTAAGAGGGATAAGATGGATACATATCTGACATCAGCCTCAAAAATCAGAAACCCATTAGAACAACCTTAGGAATAGGGTAGTCTGTTGAAACATTAATGGCACATTCAGAAAACAAAGTAGAATAACAGTAACATTGGTGGTCAACTTGTTAAAGTTGAAAACGATAGTGAACCTAAATTGACTTTAGTAATAGCTGTGTGATTAAAACCTAGTCTTGCCAAATAACAGAGAAACAAGTTCCGTTCAATGTATTCTTATTCTCTTCTTCAATCCAGTCCAATCTTGTTATCTTCTTCAGTCTAATCATGTTTACATATCAAACGCTGCCTGAAAACAAAGCAGAATAACAGAAACAACGATGGTCAAATTGTTAATATGAAAGCAATATTGAGCTAAAATTGACTTTGATCATAGTTGTGGGACTAAAAATCAAACCTTTCCCCCCTTTTTTGCAGCTGCAAATTGCTTACCGATCCATCATCCACACACACCAACATCCAATTCTTTATTTGCTCGCCTACTTTCAAGAAACTAAAAACAAACTCCTTTTTTAATGTATTATTTGAATCTTACATCACCCACCATTTTAACCTTCCGGATATCAGTTTTTCCTTTCTTTCTTTCTTTCGTCATCTCTCACAGTTCATGTTAAAAATTGAATCTTTCTTTTCTTTATCTTTCAAACCCCAAAAGAATCCTCTCTCTCTTTCTCTCTCTAGAGCTCTCTCTCTCTCTCTAGAGCTGCAAGGTTGACTAGCTTCGGGATTCCCTATGAGAGTTTCATGGTGGGGTTTCTGAGATTATAACAAGAATCTTGAAGAAACAAGGCTTTACAACAAGTTTTTTTTTCAAAAGAGATGATGATGATGATGATGATTTCAAGGTAAGAGAGATACAGATGATTTCTATGTTGATTTTCAAGTTCTGATTTCTGCATCTGAAACATCCAAACAAGATTTCTTGACTGTTTTCTTTTTCAGTTTTCCCCCATTTTTATTGGGTATTTTGGGAATTAAATTCTTGCCCAGATTAAAATGTGGTAAAACCCTTATTTGGAATATTCAAGAATCTAATCTCACAAAACCCCATTTTCTTTTTCCATTTTTCTTTTCTTGGAAAGAGAAGTGGTTGTAAACTTGTATGGTACAACAATCTTGAGATATCCTTAAGAAATAATAACTTGTAATTAGTTTTGGAATCTTTCATCTACTTGAATGGGTATTGAAGTTGGGGGGTCTGTTCATTGATTGATCTTTTTTTGTTTCTGTAGCTGACTTTTTAGGTACTTTGACTAAGAATATTGATACTTCTTGATTGTCATGTTGATGGAATCTTTTGATTTCATAAGCATATAATCTTTAGGGAAGATGTATATAGCTTTTCCAGCGATGAATTCATTAGGGTTTTGATTCAAATTTCATGGGTTTTCTTCAATTTTCACAGATTTGAGTTGAGATATGGAAAACCAAGTTCTGATTTTGGATATAGTTTTGTGGGATTTGAATCTTTATCCCAAAAGAAGATGATTTTGGGTATGGGTTTGATGTTGAATTTGTTTTGTTTTCATTGATGATGTTCTTGTTCTTTCTTTTCCCCCAATTTTGATAGATTTTGGTTGAGATTTGAGCAATAAAGTTGTGGGATTTTGGTTACAGGATTAAAGCTGTATAAACATGTTTGGATATGGCAATTCTTTGAAGTTTTTGAACTGTTCTTGTTCGATTTTCTTCGAATGATCTTGGTGTTCTTTGTTTTCCCCCAATTTTGACAGATTTTGATTCAGATATGAACAAAAAAGTCTGGATTTTTGGATAATGATCGTGGGAGTTTGAGTTCAAGATTGCAGCCATGGATGATAGCTTGTTTTCTCCTAATAATATCTTCGGGAATCCGTCCGAATTGATGATGGATTTTGATTACGTGGATGAACTCTTGTTTGATGGATGTTGGTTACAAGCAACAGACGGATCCGAATTCATAAACAATAATAATCCCCTTTTCGACCCTTCGTATCAATGGCCGACGTTGGAGTTCAACAATGGTGATCAGCTGCCTGAAGACGTTCAAGAAGAGAGGCAAAGATCGTCGTTTCTCACGAATCTTTCGGTTAGTCAAACTGAAGAAGGAAATCCGTCGAAATCCCATATCAGTAATTCAATCGGATTCTATAATCAATCTGAAAGCTCGGATACCAGTCGAAGGTGGTGGATTCCGCCAATGGCCACCATCGGCCGCCATTCCTTATCGGTGAAGGAAAGATTGATCCATGCTATCGATAGTATAAAGGATTCTACGATGCACAAAAACGTGCTTATTCAAATATGGCTACCGGAAAATCGAGAAGGAAAGAAAGTTTTGAGTACCAGTCATCAGCTTTCTTCGCTCGATTCCGGTTGCCCGCAGCTTTCTAATTATAGAAACATATCGGAAAACTATCATTTTGCGGCCGAGGGTGATTCGAAGGAAGTCGGATTACCCGGAAGGGTGTATATGGGAAAAGTTCCTGAATGGACTCCGGATGTTCGGTTTTTTAAAACCGAGGAGTATCCGAGAGTTGAATATGCTCAGCAGTTAGACGTTCGTGGGAGCGTTGCGGTCCCGATTTTCGATCACGACCGTCAGAGTTGTCTCGGTGTTATCGAGGTTGTCATGACTACCCAAAAGAGTAATTACGCTCCCGAGATCGAACGCGTTTGTAAAGCTCTCGAGGTACGTCTTTTCTTGTATTCGTTGTTATGATTATGTCCTATGATCGTTGTTGATCGATTTTATGGAAAATATGCACATATATCTACGAAGGTAACTAGTACACCGTCCGTCTGACCACAATGAAAAAGACGTACTGTTTTAGAAATGTGTAATTATTACACTTTTTTAGTTAACTATAGAATTGTAGTCGATTATCATTCAACGTTACGAAATCTTTGCTTGAAACGATATTTCTTGTCGGGAAATGATTGAAACCTTGGGTTTTTGATAGGCTGTCAATCTCTGGAGTTCCGAACCGTTGAAATCGCAGAAATTCGAGGTAATACGATCGTAAATTACTACATCGAACAAAGAATTCAAATGAAATCTGTAGAGTTTTATTAACATTCAATGAATATATCGGCAGGTGGGCGATGGTTTGAATCAAGCCGCCCTACCCGAGATCCTCGAGATCCTGAAATCTGCTTGCGAAACTCATAACTTGCCGTTAGCTCAGACGTGGGTCCCGTGCATCCAACAAGGGAAAGGCGGCTGCCGCCATTCGGCCGCCAACGTAATCCACTGTATCTCGACCGTGGACTCCGCTTGCTACGTAAACGATCCCGCTTTCAAAGATTTTCAAGAAGCGTGCTCCGAGCACCACTTGTTGAAAGGCCAAGGTGTCGTTGGCCAAGCTTTCACGACAAACCAACCGTGTTATTTCCCGGATATAGCCTCGTACAGGAAAACCGATTACCCATTATCGCACCACGCTCGGATTTTCAATTTGTGTGGGGTCGTTGCGATACGGCTTCGAAGCACGTTTACGGAAAATATCGATTACGTTTTGGAGTTTTTTCTGCCGGTCGATTGTAAGGAGCCAGAAGAGCAAAAGGCATTGCTTAATTCGTTATCAATTATCATACAAAATGTTTGCCGGAGTTTAAGGATCGTTACGGATAAGGAGTTGGTAGAAGAAGGTTCGGTTGTTTCCGGTATAGAAGCGGTGAAAGTCGAAGAAATCTCGCAGGAGACACCCGTGGATTTGATTGGAACGCAAGTTCGTGAGTCTGGTTCCGGCGATGGTGTTTTTGGGAACGATGGTGGTAATAAGCGGCCGCCAGAGAGGAGGCGTGGCGGTGCCAAGACGGAGAAAACGATCACTTTGGAAATGCTTCGACAGTATTTTGCCGGCAGTCTGAAAGACGCGGCGAAGAACCTCGGTGGTAAGCACTAGTAACGTCAGAATTCTTTTTATATAAATTCAACGTTATAATATCTTAAAGGTAAAATAGAGAATTACGCATATCCGGACCTCACCTTCAGGTGGGATATACGTATACCGCTCTTTTGGTTTGGTTTAAAATGGAGTCTTGTTGATTATGCTTTCAGAACCCGACCCCGTCTTAATCAATAAGACTTCAGAGTTTAGCATCTCTTAGAAAACAAACGGCACAAGCGGTTTGGTCAGGTCGGTTCCGACTTTTCTGATCCGAATAGAACCGAACCGTCTTAATCTTAACTTTAATGGTCGAACCACTCTGACCGATTTGGTTCAGTTTCGTGGTTTTGGGCTCATGGTCATTCTTGTTCGATTCTTATAATTGCAGTTTGTCCAACAACTCTTAAACGGATATGTCGACAACACGGAATCCAACGTTGGCCGTCTCGGAAGATCAAGAAAGTTGGCCATTCGTTACAAAAGATCCAGCTCGTGATGGATTCGGTTCACGGGGCCTCGGGTTCATTCCAGATCGAGTCTTTCTATTCAAACTTCCCGAAACTCGCTTCTTCGGACCCGAAAACGAGCTCGTTTTCGGCTTCTAAGTTCCACAACGTTGACTCGAAGCCCATTGAGGGTCTCGTCAAATCGTCACTCTCTCCTTCATGCAGTCAGACTTCGAGTTCGGGCCAATCATGTTCTAGTGGGACCCACCCATACCCGCATCCGCGCACGCCCACCGCTGAAGATTCTGGAAACTGCGGTCTGAAACGGGCCCGGAGCGATGCCGAGCTTCATGTGTCGTTATACAGTGAAGATCAAGAACAGAAGGTTCTTCAAAGATCACATAGCCATAAGTCGCTCACGGAGCTCCCGATAACTCCGAAACTCCCTCCAAAAGGCGAGCATGTTCAGCGAGTTAAGGTCACTTACGGAGAAGAAAAGATACGTTTTCGATTGCAAAAAGATTGGGGTTACGGTCATTTACTGCAAGAAATCGCCAAAAGATTCTGTATAAACGATATGAACGAGTATCATCTCAAGTATTTCGACGATGATTCCGAATGGGTTCTTTTAACTTGCGATGCCGATTTAGAGGAATGTATCGATGTGTATCGATTGTGTCAGAATGCAACGATTAAGCTCGCTCTTTTCGAACCGCAGCTCGTGGCCGGCAGTTTGGGTAGCACCGTGGTCTTGTAAAGGGTGATGACCATGGTACACCACGGCTCCACAGTCCGGTTACGTGCCCTTGTGATGGGTCGATTCGGGATCTTTGGGTAAAACCCGATAAGGATCCGGCTTAAAGATTCGGGCTTTATGGGTCTAGAGGTCGTCAGCGTGTGCATTGATGGGTTGTACTATACCGTTTCAATTGGGCTCAAAGATTCGACCATGTGTCGGGATGCATTAATGAGTTGTACAATACGATCAAATAATGGGTCAAAATCAAGAAATCTTGGTCAAAGATATGTTTTGTGTAATCATATAAATGTACAAATTAAATTTGTAATAGGGGTTTTCTTTTTAATTTGTTGTAATGAATTGTAAATTATGCATCAAAACTTGTACATTGACGTAGTTGATCATGAAAAGGGATAAAAACAGAAAATATTGGATTTTGTATTTGTTATATGAAATATATATTTGTTTGATTTGTTTATATATTTTTAATGATGTTTTATTAAGGTTGGGTTCTGGTGAGAAGTGTAAGAAGTGATCTCTACCATTGGATGCACGTTAGAATGAGATGTATCAGATTAATCCCTGTATCAAGCACGATTCATGAGTAAGTTTGAGATTAAAGATGATTAAGAGTCCAGATCCTTTATTATGTTTTTCACTTTAACTCTTTTTTTTCACACGATCATTTGCGTACATTAATATATTTTCATTTACCTTCAGTTATCTTTATTTACTTATTGTCATGACTGAAACTTTAACAAATTCATGCAGGCAAAAATAATTAAATGTATGTAAAGGTAGATCAATGTAGTTAAAAGTAGTTGAAGTTAGATTATAAGGTCAGCTCATCGAAACACTTAAGAAGTATTTTCACCATTTTTGCTATACTGTTATTCTTACACTGTCTCAAGTCTATTTGATTAATTATCAGTTATTTAAAATACCCATCTAATAAAAACGATTATAAATAGATAAAAATAACATAAACTGCATGAAAATGCAAGGTATTTTTATTTCATTGATATTCTGTTAACATATTTTAAAAATCTTCTTTTTGGTATCTCATACGTGATATTTTAATCATTTAGATCAAATATGTTACGTAAAATAGGAATTAAATTAAAGTACGTTGTATTTTCATACACTTTTTAGATGTAAATCAGGTATCTAAGAGGTTGTTTGGCAGTTGTTGAATAATTTGATGCGAATGATTAAATGATCAAAATGATTAAGAGACTCTTATGATATAGTGCAAAATAAAATATAACTGTTCGGTAATTGTTTATAATGAAATTAGGACGCTTAATGGTTAAAGGAGGCTCAAGATACAAAATCATTCAGAGAGTTTTAGAACCATTAAAAGCCAGACTTTTTTTTCTCAAACAAGATTCACTTTTTAACGATTTAGATGATGCTTCTTAATATAACTATTAAAAAGTAAACAAACAACCCCTAAATATTTGAAGATAATATATGATATACTAGAATGAAGGTTTTGAAACTACAGATGTGAATCGGAACAAAGTATTGTACATTTTCTTACAATTGCGTTAAAAAAAAGTAACTCTGATGAGATTTGAACTGATGACTTATGGGTTTTGTTTATATGATATAATAAGAAAAAGATATCTGATTTAGGTTCGTTATTGTGTAAAGGAAACGAGTCATTGGTGTTTTGAATTATCATATTTTATTATAACTGAGCAATATACAGTAAATAACAACTAATTTTCTAAACCGTTTGATTTGCTTATTCATCTTTTTTTGGGTATCGATTGAGTTATTAAGCTGACGTATACCAAACATTTGCCGACAATAATCACCACTCTCACTTACCTTATCAATATCATTATCGTGCATCAAAAGTGATTGTTGGTAAGCGTTTACTGGATAAGAGTATTCTCACTCACTTATTGTGTGAGATTATTGGTCTTTACTATTCCTTATACCCAGTAAAATTCTTGATCTTTATCATGTTAATCGCTAACACAAATGACAGCTGATAAGTACATACCTAGTAATCGTACGGTAAACAACTCCTAAACTTTAAATTTCTGCTTCGATGTTGTGACAAGAATAGTAATCGTTTGGAAAGTTTAAGGATATATTTGTCAATTTTGAAAACTCAACCAAAATTTAGTTTTGAAAAAGCAAGTGTTAGTGGTTCCACAAAAATCTAAGTGTTTAGTTTATTTTTATTAAAAAATGATAAAAAGTAAAGTAAAACCAATCATAAGGGTGTTGTCTGATTGGTTTGAGTTTGACTCTAAAGGTTAAAAGTATCTGGAGGTCTCAAGTTCAAATTTAAGGAGGAATAAAAATCTCGTTGTGGCTACGGAGGTTCAAATGTGATGGTTCCGTGCTATCTGCAAAGCAAGTGGTCGTCCTGGAATTAGTCGGCTCACATAGCGGGTTGGATATCCAGGTTAATAAAAAAAATAATGTAAAACCTAAATCGGGCTTGCACTGGGACCGGTTATGATTCTAAATGTCCGAGACTTGTTACAAGTTTTATGGAATTTGAAGAACCGGTTTGAAACCGTTTTTGAGGCCGAGATTGGTTGTGTACATGACCGATTTTTCTTAAATCAAGTTTCTATTGTAACAACCCGTCCCACATCGGTTGGTGAGGAGAACTAAGCACTCCTTATAAGGGTGTGGATACCTCAACCTAGTATGACGCGTTTTGGGGCTTGCGTTGTGCGGCTGCCAGAAACAAAACCGTGCG